TAGCCTATTTTAAACTGTAATTCAAAATGTTTGAATATTTTGCAGTCTTCATGGTCCGAAAGTTTCAAATCAATAAAGTATACACATTACTCTTATCTCTTGAAATATAATATGCCTAAAATATTTTCCACGTAATATATATGTACATAAAATATGTACCTATCTACCTATGCACTTTTTTATTTAACAACAAAGTTTATATACTTTTAATATAACATGGCAAATCAAAATACCGGTTAACATAAATTTATATGTATAAATTATTAAGAGGCAATTTTTAAAACTGAATTATTATAACTAAGTGAATACTTTATAAAATGTTATTATAAAAATCTGCAGTGGAAGATCATATCTTTCCTTTGATTAAGTGAAGTCGGGTGGGGTATAATACGGAGAAATCTCTCGTTATAAGAGCATTAAGACTTTAAAAGCAAAATACATATAGAGTAGTATTTAATGCAATTATATGAACAAAGCTGCATGAAGCGTGTGTCGCTTGGGCGATAAAATCAATGATTGTTTTCTTTGTTTGATTTATCAAAAAGATATTTCAATTAAAATAACTAAACCCCTCTAAAATAATAAGCAACAAACGAAAATTGCATTACTTATGAGAAATTTTATGCAAGAAGCCCGTATGGGAATTTCGGTGACAAATAAACCACCAGGCTCTGATACTTTGTGACCTGCTTTCATCGCTTGTTCAGGATGCGTTAGGTAGCTGTTTCAAACACTGACGCAAAGTAAGATAACCTATTTAAGATTATCAAGTTTATCAGCACGTGTTCTACCTTATCTCTTCATAGCTTATTGAAATTACTGCAACCCGTCTGAAACTACGTTAAATAATTTAAGTTGTGTTAATCACTCATTTTTTATTCAATATGAAATTGTTAATTTTAACTGATAACTTATCACGTACTCGGAGATGAAGGAAAACATCGTGAGGAAACCTGCTTATTTTCTAAATAATAACAAAAAAAAATTCAAAGGCATGTGAAGTTTGCCAATCCGCAGTGGGGTCAACTATGCCCTATTACAGAGGACGTAGTGTACGTACGTACAGACGACGCCTCAAAAACTAAACTAAAAGCATAAAAATAGCTGAGGAGTGGGACATTTATAGGCTGTTACTTTACTTTTTTTTAATCACTTATCACTACATAGTAAAAAACAAAATCGTACCACTGTCTGGCTGTCCCTATGTATGCTTAGATCTTTAAAACTACGCAATGGATCTTGATGCGGTTCTTTTTACAAGATAGATTGATTCAAGAGGAAGGTTTATATAAATAATACATTGCACCCGTGCGAAGCCGGGACGGGTTGCTAGCCAAAATATAGTACAAACCAGCTGTTCTTTCGAGAAATCGTGATGCAAGAGAAGATATTTATTAAGCTTTGTTCTTTATCAAAGTTACGATACGAACACGAACGGCTAGATAATGGATAACTAACAAAAATTAATCACTTATAGAAGATAAAATGTAAAAATGAGTAAGGCGAGCTCTGAATACCAAAGTGAATCCCACTCGGTCATGGATGAAATGTAACGTTGATTTGTTACTTCGCCACTAGTGAAATTATACAGTATTTCTCGACTTTTGTATCTAGAACATTTTGTTCTTTGTTCGCCAACATTAATATATGCTAAAATTTTAGGTCAAATATTTATAACAGGGCGGATAAAGTTATAACATCTTGAAGAGTACAAGATGTCGTAACTTTATATTATCACGATGTCATGTCGTAATCTCGTAAGGTGGCCTCATACGTATGTGGAATACGTCAGAGTTGTTGACTATATCTCGTCGAGCATTAAATGTAATGCCTTCATGTATTGACAGTGTCACTGAAATAGACCCATTTACCAGCATTCTGATATTTAAAACCAACCAGGTTTAAGCTAAAAAGAATAAAAATTTATTTCGAAATTGCTTATTTATTAATATCTTTGATTTAAATCAAAATCAAACAACCAGTGATGATAATATTCGAACAGTTATCGAATTATAAAAACCTTAAAAAGCTATCGGATGCAGGCGTAAAACTTAACACTTTTTAAACCACTTAAACGTGTTCCACTCGACCACATAACAAGTTTCGTCAATCGTTACCGATAAAAACGTAGGGAGTACACACACTCGAGGCCAAAATTACCTTTAATAAGAAAGATCTCTAAGAGAAATCATCTTCACACAGTTGTCAGTAGAAATATTCGAGGTTGGGTGTCAAGTAAACTTAACAAGGCGCCTTTTAGTCGGATTTGGGGAGGCAGCGACCACGGGGGCCCCGAGCATTAGCGCGTAGAAACGTAATATTTACTCAGTGTTAAATCGTGTTTGCCCGGTAGGCTCTGTCGACTACTTCACTTCAACCTGTTGGACTCTTTGCTTTTATCCTTATTATATACGGAGCCAAGCGTGCGTAGCATCTATACATTTGATGCTCACTGGAGCGGGCACGAAAGGAAAGTACGCGCCCCACAGGAGTGACGTGGTGTACTAAACATTAAAAAAAAATTATAACCTACACCATTTGGTTCAAACAAATGATGACAATCAATGTTATCACTATGATGGTGATATGTGCAAGCTTCGACTTTAGCTTTTCAATATAAAGAAAAGTCCATTATAATTTACCCAATCCCCGAATGTTGAAAAGACATCATGACTTAAATGTTACCTTAGAAAGTGCACCTAAATTAGTATGATAGGCTCATTATATAAATTTATATTCAAGTTCAACTAGAAATAAACATACAATTACTCTTCAAGGCTTTGAGAAGATTCTCCATAACTTTATTTATACATAAAAATCTTACACAATGAATTGATTGAATTTAAGAAACATATTTTCTGGGGTCTTACACTCTTAAATTACTTATTAATTATTCAGCAGTAAAAATGGTACCAATAACAATGGATGCCAATTAAGTGTAACCGACGCGCATATATGTTATTAACGAGACGGAAAGAGGAAAAGTATATTTTTTCGGATAACAAGGGTCATCGTTGTTTATCTGTAACTAGCGAGTGTTTTCTGTTACGTAATTGTTCCGGATCAGCGTGCTTAATTTGCAACACTGGTTTACCGACCCTATCTTGTGGTATGAGTAATATGTTTAAAATTCCATCAGGTTTGACGATAGTTAATCATCTGTCGGTCCATGATTAAAACAAAGGATACGAGGAACCAACCGTTATTAAGAACAAAAATTAAAACAAAAATCAAATATCTCACTCACTACAGATTTTCTATTTGATTTTGAATTCCTCGTTCACCCTGATGTACATCTCCGCAGTCCAAGTACCAATACCAATGAAATACAGGCGAATTCAGAAACTCCTCTATTTTTGAAGTCGGTTGGAAATACCCATAAACATAATGAACAATTCATAAGATACAACCAAATGACGATCTATAAAAGAATACGTACTAAACGCACAAAACTCAAAAACCTCCCCGTGGCATTGTAGAAATGGCTCAGCCATAGCGTTAGGCGCGAACACGACATAATCCGGCATCGAGTGCGAAGCGGATACGGCAGCCGTCGACGAACCGACGACGACGCCCGCCTAGTCGAATGGGCGCGTAACGCGCAGCCCTATATCCGCCGTGAAATTGAACGTATCGCCCATTACCGCCGACGCGACAGCCCTATAGACATAGACGCACACATATATACGTATCGGGTGACGTCGTACACGTAGAAATTGGGTCCGCCGCGCGTTGCTCTCGTGTACTTTGATCAAGATGGGCACAAGCCGATCGCATATATGACGGATATTAATCATCCGATATGTCAATGTGTTGTGGTGGTCCTTTCGAATATGGAATCAGAATATGGAATGAATGGGCTCCGATTGAAAGCCTTTTAAATGGTAGGTATATATTACAATTTAACGTGTTAGGCGTTTTATCTTTCAATTCTTTCAAATTTAGATTATTCATGCTTTTGGGGTTTACATCTAATTTTTATTCCCAGCTTTAAGAGGAACTCACATTTAAGGACATAATGGTAAGATTTTAAACTTCATTTGACGGCGGTTTAATATAGAATATTTGACATGTGCACAATATTGCACAAGAAAGAGAATTTTGAAACACTTTTTGAAAATTTTAGAGAAATTTAAGGAAAACGATACTTCGCTTCAAAGATTGCATAAATCATGAAATTAAATCATGTTATAAAACTTTATAATATAAACTTTAGTTACACGTAGATAATGAATTTTATGTACTTAAAATAATTATGAAAACCTAGCCTTTCTTTTCTTTCTCAATTTATAATATTTGTCCATATTCCTTCCGAGTTGATCGTCCTACCATCATATAAAGAAATTATTGCATTAAAATGTTCTATTTAAATTTTTGCTTCATTGTGTTCAATACTGATTTTCATGATGTAAAGAGTTAAACTTCAACAGACAAATATCACTTACCTAACTAAATGACCTAAATCGCCTTAAAATTTTGAACAAGTTTGGAGACCGGCCTCGTGGCCACGACCGCTGGACCGAATGGAATTAGAAACATTCAATTTATTCGTGTAATTGCTTAGTACACTCTCGCGGGCTTCATTATACCCCTAAATGGTTTGCACTTTACATTGATTGAAACACTATGGGCCTATCTAGAATGAAGTATATTACAGACACTTGGAATAAATTGAATCTGCGGCTACAACTGGATAAATGTGTGTCGAAACTAAAAACGCATAGGTAACGTAGTTACAAAGAAAACGAAGTAGAGTAAGTCAGGCAAAGAAGATTGACGCTTCTTCTGCTTGCGTTGATCAATTAACGAGATGCACGTAGAAAAAGAAAAAGAATTCGAACTATTCCCTACCGTGGATACATTTGAAACGGTCTACGCAAAAACAGCAAAGGAGAGAGCGAAACGTTTCAGTCAGCCGGTCGAGCGCACGACATCCTTCGGTGGTAGAATGCGGTGAAAAATCGCGGGACGCTTGTCGCGTCGCATCACGGGGCCCGTCACTCGAGCGGAGCACCGACGCCCGAATTAAATTCCGGAACTCTACGACGCCGCCGCGTTCCGGCTTCCGGCGCCGAATTTCGCGAGGAGACCGGCCGGGGCGGGGGGATTTCCAAAATTGGATACATTATTAAGTGGCGCTGAGTGCACCGCACTTTCGGCGCTTCGGATGCGATGCGGCGGGCTCGTGTCTAGCGCCGCGCTAACAACGCATCGTCAGATATATGTACATGTGTGTGTATTAAATAACGCGGCTTGCAAATGAAATGTGTGAAATGAGCCTATTACGTAATATGTTATGCCCTAAAAACTTGAAGTGGAGAAGGGGTTTCAAGGACTAGCAGTAACGTATGTGACTAGTGGTTGACATAGGTCAAGGAATACTGTTTTTTCGTAAGGCTATTTTGATGCAGAAGCATCGAGGAATATAAATTAAATTAATAAAAAAATTACAAAGCATAAAATACTTATATCCACACGTTTTTTATCTTGTTAACAAAATTCGCTAATTTCAAAACGAACTGCTTGTGAGCCTATTTCAATTTCAAATAAATTCTAAAACCTATTTCAATTCCTATTTCAAATAAATTTTCAAAATCCGTACAGACATTGCAACGTCAAGGGACAACACACGGTTGATTAGATCAATGAAACAGAAAACAAAGAACATTACTTATTTGATTCCAATTCGATGCGCACCTGATGGCACCTTAATAAAGGCTTATGCTACCTTTAAATGGTATCTTATAAATGCATCCAAACTTAATTAAAAAAATTGACAAGGAACTTGGCTTTATTTGCCAAGTAACTTGCACATCGTGCCACGCGGGACATCGCGCGGTGCTCCGGCCACCGAAACAATAGCCGGGCGCAAAAACGTTATAGGTGAAGGGAATGAAAGACGACGTGCTGGTTCATTAAGATGAACCGCTGGGCGCGAGCCAGCGTCTCGAGTGTTGCCAGTGCCAAGTGCCAAGCACCCCTTGTTGCTTCCCCCCCACACACAAACAACGAAATATGAAATGATGAATACTGTAAAAGAAACCGTAGCAAACAATGAGTCAATATTAAAACGACAAAACGTTACAACAGTCGTAGAGCTTCCGCGAATTGGTTTCTCGGTAAACGTTCTATTTACAAGTTAAACTTTTAAGGAAACTCATATTTAATAACCGCTCTTGTAGATATCAATTCAGCAATATCTTACTTGAGAAAATTTTCCATAAATTTATAGCGACATTACCCACTTATATCTTTATGTTAGTTGTTTTTATGGTGATTCATATCTGTTCTTGAGAAAATATGTAACATAGGTATAGTATAGGTTTAAAAAAATAAACTCTGGTAGATTGGGCTACCATACTGCTTGGACCAAAGTTAAAAATTTTATTAATTTCGGGGTGTCGCAGTGTTTGTTTTCTTGACTTAAATTTTATTCGAGTCATATTTTACTCAATGACAAGAAATTCATAAAATAACTTATTTATGACGCACTGCCTAGTGTTTTATTGCTATCCAAATTAAAGGTAGGACGCGATGCAGTCGTAGATGATAAACGCACTCACCTCATTAACAGCCTATTCACTCTTGCCTTGGAGAGATGTGTTATATTCGGAAATAATATATAGCATGAAAAACGATTACGTTTACTTTTTCTAAAATTCAAATTACGTATTGTCTAAAATTGTTATCCAAATAACCGCTTCATCGTTTCGTTCTAGAGCTCTCGACCAACGACGCCTAGAGAGGTATCCGTTTAATATTATGGAAATTCGGAGAACCCATTAACCCCGATATCAATACAGTGGGATCGCGAAAGCGCAATAAATCGGTAAAGTGAACCCTCTCACGTGTCGACACAGAGTGGTAGATAACTCAGCAGTTTCTTTGAAGCGCGGGCTTAGGAGGGAGACAATAATGAATTCAGGCTCGCCGGGCGGAGTGAGGTAGTGCTTGAGCGTGCTCGTACGCTTCATTTTGCACTTTTACTCTTATAAAGCGATTAATGACAATGCGCAACCTCTGCGGAAACGGATAAAATAAAGTTGAAACACATTGCGGCCGCAGTGCAGGCTTCCTATTCTAGGTAACTCGGCTCCAGGCGGTATTGTCGTGAGCTCACTAAGCGAACGCCTCATACAACTTTCCGGAATGTACCTACCCGTAAAACGAATTCCATATGTTGCATCGGAAACAACGGGAAGTTAATATGGGCAATCGCATCGGGAGTTCGCATTTTCGCTAGCGGACGTATCAAATTTACCGAGTCTCTACGCAGAGACGTCAATCTTGCACTCGGGAAATATATTTCCTGTCGTATAACGTACTTCAAGGAAAGACGCTGACGTAAGGAAAGCAAACATACGGCAGCGAAAATGTCTTTGGTAAATTCATTTTACTATTTACGTAGCTAACGAAAACGTAAACGTTCAAAGTCTGTTCGATAAACGAAATACCTAGGAGTCGTATATTGTAATGAAATATCGTATTTTATACCGGTTTAAAGAAGTTTATTTCTTATAAAAACTATAACAGTTTGTTTAAAATAAGATTTGAAGTCAAATTTTATTATCAAAATATTGTGTTTACACTTCTGGCATAAGAATTTTTAAATAATATTAAAATTATAATTCGATAGTATTAAAATTATTTTTTTTTACACTATATCATTCAAGTTTAAGATTCAATTTTAAACAAGACTGTGGACTTTTTATCGCGTCGCTTCGTATCAAAAGTGCATCATAAAGGACTAAAGAATGCCTGTGCAGAGATGGAACCAGTGGTGCAAAAATAAAAAACATAAAAAAACGCCAGTTGAGCATTTCCGCATTATCAGAGCGAGCGGAACGACTGTAGGCACGGTCATTAACTTCTTGTTTATTTTATATACAGTATATAATACGTTATTATGATGAAAAGTAATGTAAATATGATTTCATTACTTTTGTAAGATCTTTTCATTTCAAAATTTTAGATTGAAAAAAAAAAATTGAATCTTCATTTCTTTCGTGCTTCTGTGTGGCCGAAGAAATTTCCGACAACGTTTGCCCTTCCTTTTATAGTCTCGTAGTTTGCTTGCATAATACGTTGTTAAACAGACGTTGTTCTTTGTAGAAATACAGTATCGATATTGAATACATTTAGGCAGGAACTAAAAAACGATTCTTCATATTGAAGAGTGCAAAAATTTAATACAGTATAGACTTTATGATGAAAGAAAAAAAGAAGACGACCAAATAATACCTCCACTGAGTACGTATAGAATAAAGTATACAGAGAAGGCTTTTGCCTTTGTAGTGGGGGAAATATTTATAGTCTTTTGATGTAAGTAATATTTTAAGAGTCAAAAATAAATGCATGGGGACTAAAACTAACTGAACATGGATAACATGAGAACTAATTATTATGTTATAACAAAAAATCTATGACTATGCAATACCACCTGCATGTTTTGTGAATCTGACGTATGCCCTTGTAGCACCTATAATGTGTCTGGCATTTACCAATGCAATAGATGTTTATTACATATACATGAGCCGTATCGGCGGATCAGAGACGAGTGTTGTTGTGCCATTAGCCGTGACTTGGCATCCAGTTAGGTTGCTAATGCCCAATCAAACGGCGTCGGCGGCTGCTGCTTAATTATGCGTGCGCACTTCGAATACAAATCGAGCCCGTGATTATAATCAGTGTCTTGTCATTTGCAAGACAAAGCCGGCCGCGAGTGCCCGTCGATACTTGGAAGAAGGAGATGGTCTACCTAAAATTTTGAACACAGTTTGCCACGCGGCATTTTCTGTTGTTTTATCAATGGGCCGGTTGTTATTTCTTGCTTTTTTTTTGGTCAAAGTTTGGCAAATGAGGAGATTCACCTGATGTTAATTGATTACCGCTGCCCATGGACATACACCACACCTGACGGATAGCATATACGTCGAAAAACATTGAAAAAGGGGGCGCCGGTTACCTCACTCACCAGAAGAAACGCTAACATGTAATATTTTCTTTTCATGCTGGTCTTCTTTGGACCGTGTCATTTAACAGCAGAAGCTGGCCCAACCACATTCAAAAGTTCCACCTGCCACAGTCTATGTTTAGTCCTTTTCGATACACTTTTGATATAAAACGACGCAATGAAAATTCCACACTCTTGTTCAAATATCCCCAGGGCTGTTAGGCGTTTTAAATTGAATCTACAACTTCTTTCTAAAGAAGTGTCATAGCTTCGCAGATCGGTGCAAAATTGCAGTGCTCATTCATAATTATGCATTTCGCCAGATGAGTTAGATTACCTGTTAAAGATCGGCAACGCAACGCAAACAATGAGACCAAGCATGCGGCTGTTAAGGATGACCATGGGCGGCGGTAACCCAGCATCAAGCTCAAAAGGCCTCTTCGTTCACCGACTTCTCTCTTAAAAAAATCGATCGTTACAATTGAAAGGCTCGGCACGGATTATTTCCACTGACCTACTACGCTTTATTGAATATAATAAGTTCTTTCATTTCGAGGACGGGAAAATATAATATACTCAGCTACGAGTAATTATAGACTTAAGAATTTATTAACCAGCCGCCTGCCATTACATACGCAGTGACTACATTGTCATTTGCTGTATGACTAAATCATAAATTTCAGAATTTACTCACTCTCATCGGGAGCATATATTTTTATTTAACTGTACGGCTGCTGGATAAAAATATATGCTATATATAAATAATTTAGTTCGGGATACACTTTATCAGATTCAAATATATACCACTACAAATACTAAAAAAATAATTAAGTACGATATTTATAAACTAGATTTGGATTTTTTTATTCATTAACACTTTTACTCACAGCAATAGTTAAATATATAAAAGTTACCGAGTTAGAAGAGAAAAATTCCATTTTAACATTTGTATAATGAGCAAACATAAACAAGAACTTCTTCAAAGGGCGGGAATGTCTCTACTTAGCCGCACCGACCCGGATTTCGTGCCAAATATTTATTTTAATTACTTCTCGGTTTCCCCCCAAAACCCGAGATGTTTCCACCGTCTTCCACGTCAATATTGCGAATAAATTTTATAACATTCTTTTCCTTAAGAGATTTCATTAAATTTTATAAGCGTTCTTATTGAATGTTTTATAACAACAATTTTATATTATTCCTTCTACAAAATGGGAACCTTAATTTCTTTTGCCCTATTTTAATATTAACGTTAAAAAATTTTCCTTTTTTTTAATTAAGCGGTTTCGCACATCATCAAATGAATATATACCGAGTGCTGATTTTTTCATTTAATTTTGATTGCGTTTAATTTTAAGTCAAACGCGTCATTAGGTAAAGATATATATTTACTGTGGTAGGGCCACGCAGTAAGCTTCGGCTGTTGCACGAATGGGCAGGCTCGTCCGGGTGAAGTACCACGGCCTCACAGAAGACCGGCGTGAACTGGAAGTGTAATACATTCGCGTTTCGTCTGGTGAGTGAGGTAGCCGGGGCCCACATATTTATAGGTTGTCAACGCATCTACAACCCGTCAGCTGGTGTAGAAGTCTATGGGCGGTGGTAATCACTTTCACACGAGGCGAACCGTCTGCACGCTTGATGACTTTTCACATAAAAAAATACAGTAATTTAATTAACTACTCAGTTGATTAATGTTAAATTAAATTAATGTAACAAAACAATGCTGCTGCGAAAATATTCACAAATAAAGGCCAATAAACTAGAGCCTCGATTAATTTCCTTTCTCCAGTGTTACTTATGGAAATAGGTGGAATGAATTTAAGCGTCTTGAAATAACAGCCCGAGTACGTATCGACGAATGGCTGCCCGGGAGAAATGCAAGGAAGAGGAGCTCATAATCAAGCTGAGACCTACTTTCAATAAGTAAATAAAATGAACGGTGCGCGCAGAGGTCCCCAGCCGCAGGTATCGGAGTCCGCATTAAATCAGGGGACGTCGTTCAAAGTCTATTAAACGGACTCTTGAAATTTACTTTACTTTGAGCTATATTCATGCCACGTATTCTTTATTGGAAGGAATATTTAAGCGCTAAAAGCACTTGCGCAATTAACCCGGAACGAAGGAGAAATTAAGCCAATTCTCCACGATCCCTGCGCTCGCCTTAAACGTTTCTCACATAAGCGCCAGTAAACTGTAATAAAAAGAAAGATCGGAAATATTTACAATGTTTAATATAATTATATGTGTATATGCCCCTATGGACTCCAAAATGGCTGGACTGATTTTGATGAAATATTCAGGCAACGGAATTTTTCTTTGTGGATTATTAGTCTTCAGTGATACATATTATGGTTTATAAAACTTTCAATTATTATAAAGCGAACGAAGTCACGCTTTGTTATTTCCGTTTGATAACTGGCAAAGGGTTGTCGATTACGAGTTTGACTATTCTGTAGCATGTTGCCAATACTGTAGATGTATTTTCACTTCCGTCATCTCCTGTCACTTGTGTTGCTTCGGAGCGGGGAATTATTTTCATCAGTGTCCTTTATAAAAATATCAATATACGTGGATATACAAATGACACATGCCTTTGCAGGCTATGTACATTTCATTTTGTTATAGAATTACTTAAAAGTCACTGAAGCGTTTAAAACTTTTCTTTTTTTTTTTTTTTTTCAAACAATTCCATAGAAATGAACTATAAAATAGTAGAAACGGTTATTAGTGTTTAATTGAACATTCAGTGTTCAGTCTACTATTAATTTGTCGCAGTTATTGTCTTTTTCTTATATAAAGGTCTTTGAAAATGAAACTCGATGGTTACGAATAGGTCACAAAAGCTTTGTTTTTACGAATACAATGGATTCTTTTATTATTACGTTACGTTAAAGAGATCTGTACCTACTTTCAATTTTGAATTTAAGATTTATGTAACGTAGTATTGAATAAATGGACATAATATTCAATTACATATTAAGGAGTAATACGTAATAACGTATGATTTAACAAAACCGA